AAACGGTGTGCGTTCCATTTTCTCTTCGACGAGGGCTGTCCCTTGAGCCAGTGTTGGAATTGAACAGAGCACCTATACCAGTTAAAGCGGAGCATAAGTTTCTGGGAGTCATATTTGATAAGAAATTGAATTTTATTTCTCACTTAAAGGAATTGAAACAAAAGTGCCTGAAATCCCCAAACATCTTGAAAATTTTGTCACATAAAACTTGGGGCTCTGACAGACTATGCCTGCTACGCTTGTATAACGCTTTGGTACGATCCCGTCTTGATTATGGTGCCGTCGTGTACAACTCAGCGCGACCATCCTCCCTGAAGATGTTGGACCCAATACACCACCTTGGCTTGCGCCTTGCTACGGGTGCATTTCGGACATCGCCTGTTTTAAGCTTGTACGCGGACTCTCACCAGATGCCCCTTTCCAAGCGACGGCAGTACTTGGGCTTGAGCTATACTTCCAGGATTTTGTCTAATCCTCACCATCCAACCTTTTTTGCTCTCCAGCAATCTCAATTTTCTCGCCTTTTTGAAAATAAACCAAGCATTGTGCGGCCATTGAGCTTTCGTGTTCACAGTGAACAGTCATCTCTCGGTCTCGACCTTCATGGCATTAACCTTCTCCAAAAAGCCGAGAGTATTCCCCCTTGGAAAATGCTTCCGGTATCATGCGACTGGTCATTCACACGGTATAGCAAGCATAATGTCTCCCCTCTGCTTATTCAACAAGAATTTCTTGGCTTACAGAATAAATATGATGACTATACTCAATTTTATACAGATGGCTCCAAGACTTTTTCTGCAGTGGGATCGGCTGTTTATTCTGAGGTTTTCATACAGGCCCAGCGGCTTAGCTGCATGGCTAGTATTTTTACTGCGGAGCTATATGGTGTTCTCCTTGCAATCGAGTATATCACCACCAGCAAAATAATGAAGGCAATTCTTTTTGTAGACTCCCAAAGTGTCATCGTTGCCCTTTGCTCTGTAAGAGATACAAAAAACATGCTCGCTAAGCTAATACGCTATAAAATCAATTGCTGCTTAGAGCGTGGGTTCGTTATCAAATTCTGTTGGATCCCAAGCCATGTTGGGATCAAAGGCAATGAGAAAGCAGACCAGCTGGCTACCTCCGCAAGCAACCTCCTAGAAATCCGGCGGGGGATACCCTTTCAAGATATCAAACCCCCTCCTTAGGAAAGCTCTCCTCGATGCTTGGCAATCTGAGTGGAACCTAGAGAGTGCAAATAAGCTGCATGCTATTAAGCCAGTTTTGGGGTTGTGGGAGAATTCATCTCGTAAAAACCGTTTTCATGAGGTTCTCTTGTGCCGTCTTAGAATCGGCCACACCTTCCTGACTCACGGACATCTTCTTTGTGGAGAAGACGCTCCAAGCTGCGAGCATTGCGGTGAACCTTTGACAATTTTGCATATTTTGTGTTCTTGTCCAGGCTTTGAGCAGAACCGGCTTGCCTGTTTTCCAGAGTTTTTTACATATCAGATTCCTTTCCATCCATCACGCTTGTTAGGCGAGCATCCCATCATTCCATTCAATCGGGTCCTCAACTTTTTGCAAGCAAGTGGCCTTTTACACAAAATTTAAGTACTGCATTTTCTGTTCACCATAAATGTATAAAACATCAGCTTCATGTATGCTCTCAATTACCATTACTGTGAGTCGCATTAGTCTCGTAGTCTGGCGCAGCATGGCCTTCGTCGCTTTTGCGCCATTAAACCGTTAATCATCATCATCATCATCACTAAGCGTACGACGCATTCGCGACGCCGCTATATTTTTAGTTGACAAGAGGCTGACGGCCATGCATGTGAGGGCTCGTGCAGTCTCGTGCTAAAAACGCGCAGAGCTCCCGCGGGGCTGTCATACGTACAGAAAGACTGAAGGTCCTTCGATGCATTGCGACAGCGGTGGCGTCAAACTGGATGGTAGGATCAGCCACGGCCTCGTCTCTACTGACAAATACTGGAAGATCATCACGTGACGCGACCGCCGAAAGTGAAAAGGTAGAGCGGCAGACAAGAGTCATGTAAAGGGCGCCCCGCTGCGGCGAGACGCCGAAACACACTTGTCCCGAGGGATAGAATGTCCGCTCGTGCTTCTCGCGTTCCTCGGGCTACCGCTTCGTTTCTCGTCGGGGCTGGAAAACCATGTTTCGGGTCCTCCCGCTGCAAAAAATGTGCGCAGAATACCAGACCCCCCGAGAAATGCTCTGCGCTGCCAAATCCTGGCACTCCAAATCTGCGGGCACTCTATGTCTCAGTCATCGAACTGCCAGACTTTGTGAGTATAGAGCCTATTGGAGAGCGCGCGTCTCCTTTTAGGGCAGACTCGTTGACCGCAACCGTGTGCTGCACTATCGGTTGGTGGCGTCTCATATCCAGCAGTATCCAACATAGTTATTACAATAAACGCTAGAGGCTCAGCTGGCGCTAGTGTACTGGTGCATTTTGAAGCAGACAGCAAGCACTTAGAAATTGGCTTCCGGTAATGCATTTCTATGGGAAAAAGCGAGTGCCTTTTCTTTCTGCGCTCGGTTATAAGAGCAAATATCACGAATACTTTGTACGTACTAGGCACGTTGGAATATTTCTCAGTCACGCAGACAAAATAATTGGTCAGTTACAGCATTTTTATTTGAAATTCGTGGCATGCAAAACGGTATTAAAACCGCTGCGTACGTGTATTTATGTGCACTGTCGGACACTGTTAGCGCGAACACGGCGTCGACGCTTTCCAGCATGGGAGATATACGTTCCAAACGAACGAAGGACATGTGGAAAACCTAGAGAGACGGCAAGAACTACGCAGTAACACTGGATAACTAACTCCCTGTGCACGCAGACGATCAAAATAAATTGAAAGCCACGTAATATAGTCAGATTTGCAATAAATAAGTACAGTACTGCTTTCTTATTTCTGCTCATGAATATGTGCGACGATGCTTGTTCTGGGTTCCAATCATCACCCGCACGCTCCAAATCTTGGAATCATTCAGAGAGCAGGTGCCCGATAAAAACTGCCCGACATAGGAAATAATAAAAAGACACACCTTTCGTCGCTCACGTGCTTTATTTTTTGCGTTCGAATGTTTCTTTAACCGATCGTAAAGATGCACGACGGAGTCATTTTCATCAACTGACAGGACGGGCACATTAGCAATATATAAGCACCACCGAAATGCTAGCAAAACTTGAACACACTCTACATTCCTTTCGATCGCTAGTTTGCTTAGAATCGTCGCTCGTTTTCACATACCTTCCTTGAAACAGAGGTTTGGGCCTGAGATAGAGCGAAGAATAACATCGTTCAGTGGTAAAGAAAAATGCTGTAACTAAAACAATTACACTTTCACAATACCAATAAAGGTACATACTATCCGGTACAACCGAAACGACAAAAGTTGTTCATGTTATTTTCCGGCGAAGAGACAAAATTCACGCGCGTTTTCCCATAGGAATACACAGGGAGGCTGGAAATGTAGACTGCTTGCTGTCTGCTTCAATTTACAACCGGAAGTTCCGTAGACACTAGCGCCAGCTGAGCCTCTAGCGTTTATTGTAATAACTCTGTGGTATCCAATGCTCCACAAGGCAGGGAAGGCAATCCGCTCATATAGGCAACGAAATCGGTTTGATCGCCACTCGAGCCGTTGGCGAAAGGAAGTCACGCTGTCTTCTTGCCAATGCAAAACTGCTGTTAATCGGTGGAAGGAACATTGTATGCAGGCGTTTCAGTTAAGTAACTGGCCACTTAATAGAAACTCGGGACAATCGGGTTATCGTTGAAACTTTCGAGACACTCAACGTAAAATCTAAACAATTTGGGACAACAAAGTTTATAAACACCGAATGGAAATTGATTGCTAGATATGTACTGGTAGCTGACACTGTAATCGGGACATTTTCAGAATCGGAACGTGTCTTGGAAATGCCAGCTTTAGTAATGCTCAAAACTTGCATTTATTAGTGAAATACCTAAGTGAAATGTACTTAAAAAGCATCGTGAAGTACCTTCACGAAGAACCGTCATTGAGAGTCGTTATGGGGAGCCGTTATGAAGAACCGCCATCGAGTACCCTCATGGAGAACCCTCATGGAGAACCCTCATGGAGAACCCTCATGGAGAACCCTCGTGGAGAACCCTCGTGGAGAACCCTCGTGGAGAACCCTCGTGGAGAACCCTCGTGGAGAACCCTCGTGGAGAACCCTCGTGGAGAACCCTCGTGGAGAACACTTGTGGAGAACACTTGTGGAGAACACTTGTGGAGAACACTCGTGGAGAACACTCGTGGAGGAACCCTCGTGGAGGAACCCTCGTGGAGGAACCCTCGTGGAGGAACCCTCGTGGAGGAACCCTCGTGGAGGAACCCTCGTGGAGGAACCCTCGTGGAGGAACCCTCGTGGAGGAACCCTCATGGAGAACCCTCATGGAGAACCGTCATGTAGGAAAAGCATCAAGTGCCACCATGAAGAACTGTCAAGGAGGACCGTCATGCCGAACCGCCATAAGTAACCGTCACACAAACCCGTCATGAAACGCGGTCATGAAAAACCGTAATGAAGAACCGTCATAAAGGACCACCATGAAGTACTATCATGGAGGACTGTCATGGACAACCATCATAAAGTACCGTCATTAAGGACAGTCTTCAAGTGCTGTCTTGAAGCACCGCAAAGTACCCTGATGAATATTCATCACAAGGAACGTTAACGTCGTGTGACACCATGACGTTACAGCGAGGTCACCGTAACGTCATGATGATGTCACGCGAAGTCATGACATTATTATACACCATGACAAGATGTGACGCAATGACGTCGCACGACTATTACGTCACCAGACGCAACGACATTAAGTGAAGTCAATCACGTGAGCCCATGGCGCGACATACGTCATAACACTTGCCCAGTTCATTCACAAAACATTCTGTGCTCCCGGTCATTGTCAACATAAGCAAGCTAATATAATCTTTTTTTTCTGCCCGACAGGAGGAGTTCCAGTGTCTTCGAGACAAGGTGGCTGACGCGAGAGGTCAGCCACTTAGAATGAGGCCCCTGCTCCTTCCCGCCGTGGCCAACACCATCGCCGCTCTCGTTCTGGGCAGCCGTTACGCGTCCAGCGACCCGAGGCTAGACCAGCTGGAGCAACATTTGGAGACCTTTGTTAGGATCTTCTTCAGCGTCCCCCCTGTGAACCCACTGCCGAGCTGGCTCGATTGGATGTCACCATATATCCCCATCCTCGGAGAATACAAAGGCTCGAAATTTGCACGAGATATCCTCAAGTTCGTTGGGTAAATAAAAATAGATGTTCCGCAATTTTTCAAACCGCAAGTACGCGCAATTTCGGATGAATGTTCGCTTAATGCGATAATTAGAGGCATGGTAAACAGACGACATCACTACCCTCAACTCTTCGTATTTGAATTCTAAGAAGCCAACCCTGCCAACGTTACTTAGATTAATCAAAACCCGTATACTTTAATTTTGACGTCATCACAGTGACATCGAGCGAAGATAACAGCGAGTTTTAGTAGTGCGTACATAAGCGAACGCGTGCACTGTGCGTTTTGGTTTGCGATACGTGTTACACACTTCGGCTGCCGCCTTGGATTGGCGCATGGTGACGACGCGCATTTCCAGCGTGGAGCATGCAGCGCTAACACAAAGGCTTAGTGCTTGCGTTTCCAGCTTTGCGCAATACTAAATCTATCTATTGATTGGATGCAAGTGCAGCGTCAACGTTCGGCTGAGACTCGTGTCCAGTCAATCGTTCGAATAACCTTCGGCGATGGGCTTGACACCAATAGACCGTTTGCTACATTACCCAAGCATCAAAGAGAATACAGGGATTGGTGATCTACGTGCCACACGCGCACGCCTTCCCCATGTAAAAGATTCGAAGTACATAACCAAAATAGAGCGTTGACGAACGCGCGTGCAAGACGTCTTTGTTTTAGATATTTGCTTTAGAACAGTTGCTACTGCTGAGGCCACCTCGTGCGGCGCGTGGAACACCAATCCCTGCAGTCTCCTTGATGCTTGGGTAATATAGCGAAAGATCTATTGCTTAGTTTGTGCCATTTGAATCTGATGCCAACACGTGGAGGTAAAGGAGGCTGCTCGCAGGCTTTGAATATTTCTAGGTGGTGTTTGCTACGCCATCACTAGTAGCACATGTACGATATGAGCAAATATTCAATTTTAGAGCGGTTTAAATATTTGTGCTAACTAATCTGCATGGTCTATTTAAATGCGAATATGAAGGCACAGTTGTCTGGCACAAAACACATAACAAGTCTGTTAGACTATAGTAATGCTGAGCGCAAGTTCGTCTGCTCCTTTTACAGTGGCTGTGGTGACGTTAGAAGAACGCAGAGATCTGTTTGGCTTTGATCGAAGGATAGTGGGTAGTCCTCATAGCAAGCTTTCTTTAGGTCTACCTACTATCCTTAAATCAGATCCAATCAGAGCTCTGCGTCTTTCTGACTTCACCACAACCCCCGCTAAAAAAGCAGACGAACATGAGCTTCGCATTGCTTCAGCAAACGTCAATTCTGAATATTTTTACAGCACCCCTCTGAGTGTGAAAAGGAAAAATTCAACTCGTACTAACTCTGTGGTGTCTTTTACGTACCGAAATTTTTAAATACCCTATATAAAACGCAGTCTGCGCACGCTTTGTGCACACTCATATTTAATGATTATAATCCTAAAAACGTTCCGGAAAATGTGCCTGACTCAGTCTCATAACTCTGGTCACTCACAAAGAAAGAACGGCAAGGTGGTGCTTTAATTATTCCGCCTCCAGCGCGAGCCTCTTACCTTCGACAATGCTTCGATGTTTCGTGCACCTGGAGCGCTCGCGTGTTGCCAAAGCATGACGGAAGGCATGCTTTGGCATGCTGGAGGTCGGACGTTCGAAAGACGAGCCTTGCCGTTCTCATCTTCCTCGTGACTGTACCGAGTCATTGGGACCCAACTTAATCATACGTCAAGTACTACAGCCCGCCCTAGAGCTATAGGAAGCACCGGAACTGTGTCAACTATCCGGTGGGAATACCACCCTCGCGCCAGCTGAATGGCTCTATGACGTAGCGCTCGGTGGAACAACCGCACTAAGCGCGAAGGCTCGCCCAAGGTCGATATCCCAGCTGGACCGGGGTACAAACGCGTTTTCCAAAGTCATCCAGGCACCGCAGTGCGAGGTTATGGCGAAAAAGCCTGAATCGCCGGGTGGGCAGAATTGCTGCGTTATTTCCGATCCATCCGTGACTTTCACCAAGAGTGAGAGACATCCCCCACTCGGCCTGTTCCACGGGGCTTTACGTCATGAAGGAGTTCACGGGCTGCCGCCAGGATATCTCTCCCATGAGATAAGACGCAGTTAACAGGCTAAGATATTTTTGACGCAGACTCTGTTACAGGGGTTCGAGACTCCTCATGCACAGAGCCGTGTATCGGGAGAGTTTGGCCATTCATTGGTTTGAAAAGGCGAGCATCGCGGGGCCAGCTACAGCCGCGAAACAGCCCCTAGCGGTGTTTGTAACCTCTAAAAATGCGACTCTGCTGGTTTGAATCGTTTTAGCGTCACTCGAGTAAAAAGGTATAACTCTTGCTGACTGAAAACTTGGCGCATGTGAGGTTTTCGTCACGTCCATATTCTACGCTAGAAAAAACAGGCGTGCGCTCCAAACGCGCTCCAAACCAGGGCCGACTTGCTAGGAACAGCGTATCAGCTGAGACTGGGAAATAAAGCAATACCAAAGCCAGCGCACGAGCTGAGCAGGACGCAAGCCGCGTCTCGAGGCGCTCGCGCGCCCCAGCTTTCGCAGTGCTTTCTTTTGCCAGTCTCAGCTGAGACGCTGTTGTAGCAAGACGGCTCAGAGCAAACTGTTACCGAGACGCCGAGATTGAACGCTTCTATTTCACGCTTTAAATGTCGTTTCCAATGTTGCTATGGCGCTGTCTGCTATTTAGTCGGCACTGTGTCGCCCTTTCAGTTTACGCTCTAACCGCGGGGGGATTATTCGGCGCTGGTGGCGGCCTTTGCTCCGCCCATTGGCCACTCTCCCAATATACGACTCTGCCCAAGCACAAAGTCGAAGCCAAAGTGGCGGCAGAAGCTCGGAGTCATCGTTGCGAGAGTCCAATCGGCACGCTGCGTTAACTTGGGCCCCGACTTTGTGTTTGAGGAGCCTACCGCCTCAGTTAGGGGTTCCGTGAGGTGAGCAAGACATCACGGTAAAGCGCTAAAAAAAAAAAAAAAGAACGTGAGGCGTTTGTTAATTTTAGCAAACTTGCCATATGCTAAATTTGTCAGCCATCATTGTGAGCCTTCAGCTCAGAAGAGCTATTATAAATTAAAACACTTAGCGCAGCTCATGCCACACTGCACAGTATTTGTATCCGGTTTTTATCTGCACGATGAAGATACATTTAGAGTTTATTTTATCAGCCAAGAAATCAATCACCGTTTGGACACGCTGGATCCAGACGTGAATCGACACTTCATTGACGGCTATTTTACTATGGTAACGCAGCACCGTGGAAAACCTGATCCCGACGTCAACCGTAAGTACCGCAATTTGTGCCCTGTAAAGACGCGCAGGAAATAACACTAGGCCGTGATAAGCAATAGACTGATCTCACCAAGCGTTCGGCGCATGCGTGAAGTCGCCATAACTTTAGTTCAAAGGAGGCAAACGGCAGTGCACGAGATGGCTCGTGCGTCTTGTGCCGTCTCGTGCTCTACACGTGCAGAAAGACTAAAGTTCCCTCGATGCATTGCCGCAGCGGCGGCGTAGTCAAACTGGCAGGTGATATCGGTCTATTACCGATTTATAAGTTTTAGAAATTGCAGCCCTTTAAAACGACGGGTCTTTCTGCTCTTGTGGCGCTTGGCAAAACTAAATATCAAAAGAATTGCATCCTTTGTACCTTACAGCGTCTATGTTTATCATACTGCACTTTCTAGAACACGAGTGTTTTGTAATTCCGGGTTTATACGGCTGCAGTTAACAATCAGCAGGACAAAATTTAGTATTTTGTAAAGTAGGAAAAAAAAATGAAAGGAATTGGCAGATACAAAGGTCCTCAAATATGAGCAAACAGATTTTTAGTCTTCACAGATTTTATATTGAAACAAATCCGTAAATGCAACAATAATGCGATCTATGCAGGTGAGCTATACAGCCAGGGGGACATAATATCAAAACATAACGGGCGTCATAAAACAAATCATTAAGTAAAATGCGTTAACTACCCTTTAATTGGTAAATATAAACCCAATTTAAAAAAAACACCAAAACTACTGTAAAATTGTGTTTCTCCTGTCTTCCTTAGCCTGGTCTTGGCTTTTTCTTTTGTAATTATGTTCAACCCACACCTGCTGATTGGCGAACTTGCTCTTTGTACTAATATATATATACCGTTTAAAAAAAAGTTGGGTTGTATGTATGTTTATACAGCCTAGAACTTGGTTTTCCTCAACCACCGTGACCTCAACGGGCGACGAGTCTCCCAGCTGTAGATGAGGAATTTAGCCAGTGCAGTACAGCCGCTAGCCTGGGGTCTTTAACGTGCATCACGCAGTAGTAATACACGACCGCACGGTGGTACGATGCTCATCCAGATCGAAACGGGCAAGGGGGGGGGGGGGGGGGGGGGGTTGAACCCAGGATCCTGGGTTCTGTAACGCGGGCTTTCGCTCCACGTGCTCCGAGCTGGTGTGCACTAGACTACTCGGCCGCCGATTTCTCCTACGGTTTCAACTACAAGCTCGCTGAGGGTAGTAAATAAAAACTCTAAATATGTGAATTTGAGAAATATTTAGGGCACGTCGAAAGCGGGGCGGTTCCGTTGAAGTTACCACTCGTGCAAATGGGTGAAAGGCTGGCGGCACGAAAAAGCGGGTGGTAAGGAACGGCGAATCCGAGCGGGAACGTTTCCGCCCTACCAACCTTGCACCTATTGGAGCGGAGCTCTTAAGGCCCGTTCACACACTTGCAACCGAGTACGATCGAGAGAGACGAGACCTGTTGAAACTTCTTAGAATTCCTTAGGACGAGAAAACACACTGGCACGCTGGTGGCACCTATGCGGTGACGTTGGAACTGCATTTCATAAAAGCGAAGGTTTTGCGGGATTTCCGAGGTCAAATGTGCGTAATACCTATGAGAAAGGCTCGATTATAGCGTTTTCAAAGGTTTTTCAAGCCAAGAAAGAAAGGATAATGCGCGAGAGAAATGGGAAATATGCCGGGCTACCAAGTTTATACTGCTATTCAACAGATGGCGCTGTGTGTCCTCTCGTCATAGATATTAAGAGGTTCCAAGGTATACGGTTCGAGGAGGTCGCAAGTGTCTGAACGGGCATTTAAGCGCCCGTTTTCAGCTTGTGCGGCGTCACCGTCGGCGTAACCCCGCATTGCATTATGGGACGTTTCCACTAAGGACGTCGCGAGGGCAACCCCGTCACGAGGGTTACCCTCACAAGGGTTGCCCTCGTGACGTCACGTGTGGCGTCATTGTATAAAACGCGTGATTTATTACGTCACGTGTGACGTCACACGCCTCAAACATTGCCAATATTCCCTTCTCTAAATTTAGCGGGAACATTTTCCGCTAAATTTAACGGAAAAATATATCCGCTAAATGTACCCTCGTTGAGACGTTGTTTGTCCCTTTCTCTTTCTACTTCACGATTTTGTGTTTTTCAAACCACAGTCTCAGGTTTTCAATCATCATGTATTACCCTCATGACGTCACGTGGTACGACACGTGTGATGTCGCACGTGCTGTCACGTGTGTCGTCACGAGGGTAAACTTTTCCCGCTAAATTCAGCGGAAACGTTTCCCCGCTAGTTTTAGCATGGAAGGAAGAGGGGTATACGCTCCCCTCCTCCTCCTCAAGAGCTGCGCTCTAAGTAGGCGTTACAGAAAATCGTAAGTCTAATTTTACACAAGTGATAGCTTTGACGCACCGCCGTTTCTCCCAAGCGCTTTCAGTATTTTTTTTAATTCCTGTCAGACGGTTTATATGCTGACACATGAATAGATTTCAAAACGCCAGTCCCTTCATGTATTCATCATTTGCTTGAGCCTTCAGTGCTGTTGTGTCTGTCAGTTTTTGTTCGGCAAAAGAGGTGGCGCCGCATGTATGGCTGCCTGCCCCCTGTTTAAAAATCATGTGACTCAGATATAAAAAGGGAATTCTGTTCAGTGTGAGTGAACTGCCTGCACCTCCCGTGGCCTGGGAACATAGGTCATGTACCGAATACAACAAGTGCCCCATACGAAACTGACTATTCCCGAAAACAATTTGCAACACTTCAATCTTCAGTTGTACTGTTCTAGTTGTTGATTTACTTCACCAAGTAATTTTAAGCCTAAGTTAATAATATTGTCTGCTGCATGAAAACCCGACTGAGTTAACCTCACATGTTTCACCTGGGACTCAAAAAGAGATTACTTTTTTTTTTCTTTTTTTTTTATGTAAAGAAGTAGGCGAGCAGATGTTTGGTAGGAGATGGTGCTCTGGATACTCGTTTTGCTTTTAGTGCCATTTCAAAAAGAAACTTGTTGGCAGAGACCACAGTGACTTTAAGACAACTGAAAACGTTCTTTATTGTTGTTTTTGCCATATCACACACGTGATTATAATATCGCAATTATCTGCGCACATTCGTATCGCTTATTGTATGAAGGCACAAGGACGTTTTAGAATAACGTAGGAAATGTTATCGAACGTTAGCGCTAAACTCAGCGCTCGCGTTAGCGCAAGGTGCGGAAGAGAGTTTTATAATGGCGTTTCTTCGCCGCAACGCAGTATCCAAGCATTTCGCGCTTACAACGCCACCAAGATAAAATCTAAGAAAACTAAGTTCGCACAAAAAATTCTGTTATTGAAAGAACAAAAAACGTCCTTGATCCAGAGTAATATTTTAAACTTGCCTCAATACGAAAATACGACACCAGCGGTAACTTTCGTGACCGCTCGCATCCCCTCGGTGAGGGAGGTCGGGTATCTGCTCTTTGCCGAGAAGACATTGCACGTAGGAAGCTGGAAGTTGCTGGCGATCGTTGCCCACCTGGTTGGATCTTCCAAAACCTTTGTGGCGCCTACCTCCCGTAGGAGTGCAATCTTGTCCTATATTGAAAACCGAAGTCGTGAGGACGCTGCTAACGTCGCGCTCACGACGGCCGCCAAGGCGGCCGGGGCCCTTCTAGCCGCCAAGGTGGCCGGGGCCCTTCTAGCCGCCAAGGCGGCCGGGGCTCTTCTAGCCGCCATTTTGTTACTGTGTTTGTCTCGGATAAAAGAAAAGAGACATACAGGACGAAGACAGGACGAGACAACTTGTCATATCTTCGCTCTTTATGTCACTTTCCTTTTGTCCCTGTAACCTACGAGCGCGCTCCAATTGGTCCACTATCTCGGCTTTAACCAACTTCTTGTCCATCTCGAATTCTCCTAGGAGCATCGCAAAAACTTCTTGCGTACGTACGTAAAGCGCAAAACGTGGTTAGTGTTCGGCGCATGCGTAGTGGCGACGAGGCTACATTTTGCGTACGCTATTCTGTGCGCACTGGGGGAGAGGAGCTCGAGAGAATGGAATGCTCTGGAAGGTCGCCGGGTTTCTCAGCTTGATTAGCGGTAGTGTCGCTTCATTTTACCAACAACTACCGACTGTACACATGGTACGCGTTGAACCCTCTGGGGAAGAGCGCCGTGGACGTAGGCGTCTGAAAACTCAGAATATTGCTAAAAGTTGGTTATGTAGAACGTTTTACGTATACAACACAATTGCCTAGCAATTACCTATAAACATTTTTTTTTGTTTAATTCGTTGCATTCCTTTCGACGAGACACCGCCCTTGGGCCCAATAGGATAGTGTTATACGAATTCTTAGGCTGTTCTATGTGTTCGTGAGCTGTCACAGTTCATATCATTTTAAACGGTACATGGCTTGTGCTTTTCAATTGAGTATTGTTGTTGTTGTTTTCAATTTCAATTATGGATTGCTCCCTTTCTTGGAAATAGGCGTAATTTTTTTACCATTCTTGTATATGAAATTATACTTTTAATCATATGTTCGTGGGCAGTCAAAAGCATGAACAGACACTAAAAGCACAAATCACTGGGCTATCAATAAACATGAAACTTTTTACGATAACACATAAAGGTGGGAACATGACGTTGCGTTTTAGACGCTGATTGATTGGTAATCAGCCCGTAGCATCGACTAACACTTTGGACGTTTTACGTACCATATACACGAATGACATCTGGGTCGTTCCAGTGCGGGTTTGAGGAATAATTTGGACCAGCTGGGGATCTTTTGGCTTGATAAAAAGATCTCGGTCTGGATGAGAAAACGTCACCTGAGGATCCGCAGGCCGGACTTAATGAGAAACATAGTACGGGGCTTCGTGTCGTTATGATCACTAATTGCTTTTCTATCATCACAAAATGCTCCCGAATATATGAAATTAAGAAATAGAATACTCCGTAATAACAACCCCAAATTTAAACAAAAAAAAATAAATCCCCAAAAGCAGGAAAGCCTAGCCATAACAGGAGTTCTTGTTGCCACGGACAGCTGACACCCTTCACGGCAGTGTGGTTGATTTATTGATCGCCGGATCGAGCACCGTGGCAGCCACCATCCTGTACATCCTCCTGCACTGCGCCGCCAACCCGGACGCGGTTCAAGCCAGGATCCACGAAGAGATCGACGCGGTGGTCGAGTCCTGCCGCAGCCCGAAGTGGGAAGACCACAACGGCATGCCCTACACCATGGCCGTCATTTGGGAAATGTATCGCTGGAAGACCGTCAGCACGCTAAACCTGCCCAGAGAGTAAGATGATTTCGTTTCCCAGTTAGTGAAGGAGTTTGGACCAAAAGTCTAATTTTTTTCTGACAATTTAAGGGTTCGAAAGCCAAAAAAGCCAAGGTATTATCTGCCTTGACTTTATTTGACCGGAATCTGTAGCAATTTTGGCCCTAAATTTCAAAACAAGTACAGGGTTAGGCTTACATCTGTGTTCGTTTGCCACTCGCTTCTTTGAGTCTCCATGCCCAAATTCTTTGGGCCAAATTTTAAATTTTAAATGGCAATTTAGGGCTTCAAAGGCCCCCAAAAAGCCAAAGTGTAACCTTACTTGACATCCTTTAGCCAGCGTTTGTGGCTAGTTTGGTCCTGAATTGAAAAACAATTGCAGATTTGGAGCTTAACTTCCTGGTGTTTCGGTTGTTATCTGACTTCTTTGAGCCTCAGTTCCAGAGGAAACGGCCCAATTAGGCTCCCCAAGAAGCACAGTTCTTTGAGCCAAAATATGGATTTTCTTTGATACTTTAGGGCCTAGACGGCTCCGAAATGCCAACGTATAACCTGACCTGAAATTGTTCTTCCAGAGTCTGTGGTTAATTTGGCCCTAAATTGCAAAACATTTGCTTGGTTGGGCTTAACTGCCTTGTCTTGCAAATGTTTCGGCTGTTCTCTGGTTTTGCTTGAGGCTCAGTTTGAGAGGAAATGCTCGAAATAGGCTTCCCCAGTAGCACAGGTCTTTGGGCCCACATTTAAACGTTGTCCGGCAATTTGAAACCTCAAAATAAAAAAAAATAAAAAAAAAAAAACGCCCCAAGTTATAACCTAATTTTATATTCTTTGACCAGAGTTTGTGGTTAACGCGATAGCGTTTAGGAGCTCTTGCCGAAGAAAATCCGGCGTCAGCTTCGGCTACGGTAAAGCCTTAAAGGGCCCATGAAAATTATTTTTTTTTTAACAGCCTGGTTGGGACACGCGTGCCAAAGTAAATTAATTTTACGCGAACATAATTCAATTTTTAGAGCAATATTGAAGGTGCGAGACTTATTTGAAATTCTGCGCGCAAAGTCCAGGACGTCACGGAATGGTCATACACTCTCTCCACCTCAACGGGATGGCTAAGTCGATCCATCTCCCCTCCACGGACCAGAAATGGCAACCAAGAAAACAAGTAGAAAGGAGGTTCCTAAATCGTTTCTCACCCCGTTCATATTTCTCTAAAAGATCTTTTATTTTTGCGTAAAATTAATTTTTCGACACGCGTGTCTCAAATTGACAGTGTAATTTTTTTTTTTTATTTCAGTGGCCTTTTAAGGTACTTTTATACACCCACGTAACGTCGACGGGCGCCACTGAACGCGGCGTAGCGCAGCGTACAAAGATGCTAATTGGTCGCAGATATCAAGTTTCTACTCGCCGGCCAACGAAACGCGCGAGTTCTGCACTACACTGCCTTAGCTGATCTAGCTCAACGTCGGAGTATTTTTCAAGAAACCATTCCCGTATTGCTTTTCAATCTATCTTACATTGAGTGCGCGCCTGGTTGAGTGAGTTTCAGTGGTGCGCGACCTAGGCGTACTTTTATATAGTGAATTATAGAGTGAATTATAGAGTGAATTATAGAGTGAATTATAGTGAATTATAGAGTGAATTATAGAGTGAATTATAGAGTGAATTATAGAGTGAATTATAGAGTGAATTATAGAGTAAATTATATGGTGAACATGTGAATTTTTAACCAATGCATGCTACCGCACCCTGGGAGCAATCACGAGAATGACGCTCCACTTTAAGACCGATACTTGCTCTTTACTGTCAGAAGTCACATTTTGTTGATATTAGATATGTAAATTTTTCTTTTTTTTTCTTTTTCTAAGCATGTTTTTGTTTTTGCATCCTCTAATTGGAGCTGCTTGAACTCTTGCATGTATGCACTGGTGCACCCTCCTGTAGGCCCGCGGGCTGTATAGGGGCACCGCAAAAGTACAAAATGAATAAAGAAATAAAATAACCAACCCTTTAAAATCCCATAATACAACGCGCGTAGCCACGTGTGACGGCACGCAGTCGACGTTACACGTGGCTTTAACGTCATGACCCATTTGGCACGCTTAAGTTTGGCAGAAAAACTTTCCGCTAAATTTGGCGGGTAGATAGTTAATGACGTCACGCGTTGCCTAACATGACGCACACGTGACATCATGAGACGTCACGTGACACGTGACGTTATCGACTAGAAAACGCGCACACCGTTGCGCGGCTTGAGATGCGGGAACGAACGCGAGTGTTTATGAAAAGGCTTTGCGACGGGGCCGGGTAACGCTATCGCGTTCCAATCTTAAAGGCGATGCTTAAGCTTCCCCCAAGCTTCCTTGTCCATAAATTGCAAAACAAGTGCAGAGTTGGGCTTAACTGCCTGGTTGCTTGGTTGTCAGCCGAGTTATTTGAACCTCAGTTCCAGAAGAAACAAAACTAACTTAAAATAATTTCGCACGTGATTGCGACTATTTGGCCCCTATATTGCAAAACAAGTAGAGAGTTAGGGTTAACTGCCTGGTTATTCGGTTGTCAGCTGGTTTTTGGGGGCCTTGGTTCAAAGGAGATGTCCGAATTAGGCTTCAAAACTAGAACAGCGCTTTGGGCCACAATTTGGTATGTGCTCGGCATTGGCGGACACTGAAAGTCTCAAAATGCCAAGCTACACTTCGTGCTAGATTGTTTGCGCCTTGGGCACCTCCTGCGTTTCTTTATACGCCAGATGCATCCACGTGCTTTTGTTTCCCCCAACTTCCACCAATGACAGAGCGCGCCTGACTGAGATCGTCGTCTAGCCTTCCCTACGGGTTTTCAATGTCACCCTTTTATTTGTGTGCCCCTCCACGCGTTTTGATGCGCCAAAGACAAATTTTGAAACACTTGCTCGCAGTATTACCTAACTTGATTTTCTTTGGCCAGTGTCTGGCTTCTTTTCCTACTCTCAATTGCCTTTTTTGACTGACTAAATTGCCTAAATTGAGTGTCAAAGTTAGGCTTCACTGCTTATTTTTTCGGTTGTACCCTGGACTTTTCTGGCCTCGGTTTAAGAAAAAAAGTGTCATAATTTCGCTTTATTTTGGCTTTCTCTATTTTTACCTGACAACTTTGGGCCTAGATTGCCAAACGAAGGCAGGAGTTAGGCTTTGGTGCAGATTTTTCCGATGGTATATGGCTTCTTTGACTCTCGTCTGGTACTTTGGCAGTTATGTGATATATAGAAAAGGTATAAAATAAAAGAAAAAAGTACTTTGGCACTGTTGCGTTTGGGAGGATGACGATCTCAGGCGCGGAACCAAGAATCGAGGCTGTGACTCGCCGCTAGCATGGCCCCGAGGAAACAGGCCTGGAGTGGGGGTACTGAAGTAGAACTTTTATGTACAGTTAATATACAAATAGCATGGTCGACTCGACTGATTAATCGGCAATCGGCAGTCGGCGATTTTTGGCTCTCTGAGTCCATGTTATATAACCTTCCGAGGGCGAGAAGGCCCGCGGAGCGAGAGAAGAATCTTCCCCGGCGTTCTAATGTTCACGTGGTGTTCGAAGTTCGGGGCGGCTGATGCAATTTCCGGGTGTTCTTTCAGCGAGGGGCAGATGATGCAATCCCTCCACGTTCTTGCCCCGCTTCGGTGGCTGATGTAAGGAGTCGACACCCTCGCTGAAACCCAACACCGACAGACCCACACACACACACAGGCACGCACACGCACGCCGGTGTTTCTCCTTGCGAAGGCTGGCGGTCCCAGATAGCCTCGTGGCCTGCGGAAGACGTTCTTTTTGTGTTTAAGGCCCTCCTCGAAGAGCACCACCGGCCCGATGACTCAAGGACCGGTCTTGGGATTCTGAACGTGAATGTCTAGCGCCGGTTGGCGCGCACCGGGGCCCAACGTGACAATAGGCTTTGCTGCCGTTGGCGACAGGTGAAGGCCAACTCTAGGACGGAGCCAAGGAAGCCAACCGTAACAGCACTAACGAACGCATGGGAGGAATATTTTATTAACCCAAACTCAGGCCATTGGGATTGACAAACTTGGGTCAAGTTTGGCAATCCTAGAGCCTAACTCTGTACTTTATAAGGCATGGCTCCAAAGCTTTAATTCCAAAATACGGTGTTTTTATTTGGGGCTTTTCTCTTGTCCTCAAAATGGACCTTTTCCGAGAAACGTTCTGCGCACGCGCGAGCGCCCGATGCCAAGCGGTGGAAATCGGCACGAAAAATCTAGGAAATTCGGAATGAGGCTGTAGATCGACGAGTAGAACACGTAATTTCAGCAGGTATATAATTGTGTTACACAAAAATAGAAAGTGGAAGGAAAGGAAAACGCAACGTTTGGGTGGACGCTACGGATTTCCCTCTTTAAAGTCGAGTTGGGCACGCGACGCAGCTCAGAGAGCGAAGCAACTGGTAGCGTAGCTCCCAATATCGATTGGTAATGGAATTTAACGCCCTAAATATCCGGACAAAAATATTTGGCCAAAATATCTGTGCTACCTGGGCATGACAGTGCAATAAGTGTACGTTGATGCCTGAATCACAGGTGATCCTTTATATCATAAGCATTATTTTACGCTCTTCCAAACTTGGCTATACGACCCTCAATAAATGATTTTAGAGTTTATAAATATTTTGTTGCGTTAGTTTTTTTTTTTTTTTTTTCATAAAGTATTGAACAATAATTCAATCTAGAGCCATAGTATCGTACTTTCTATTTACTTATTTTTAGTTGATCAATAGCTTAAAACTGTCCTGTTGACTAATTATGTTCGAAGCATGAGTAAAGGTGTTTTCTAAGGTTTGCCAAGCGAGTAATATGTGAAAAGGCAACCTGAAAATGTTGCTTCAATTTATTATGCAGGTCTAACTTTTAAGGCTGCAGTTTGGGCGAGGTCGTCTTTTGTACCTTCGACGTTACAGCAAACAACAAGAGACACACCCTTCGTACGGACACTAACCTGTGACTATTTGGAGCGGCATCAACCGCGCTTGCAGAGCGCTATCCTTAGTGGATGAATATCACAAGAAAAATTGAAATAGGATGTGTTCACAAGGCTTTAAAGCGTGGCATTCAAAATCTATTTAGACCAAATTGCCATAAAAAAGATGTGCAATGTGCATTTACTTTAGCCGAAACACAATGTTGGTTTTTGTGTTTGGCCTTTTCTTTGACATTGTAAGAGAAGCGCTTCAATATGCTGCTTTTCAAATCATCGTCGCGGGTAAGTCTTAGCGCTTAATTTTGTTTTCGCAAAAACTCTTCGGAATATTTACTTTCACAAACTCGAGTGTCGTTGTTTCAATAGAGTCGATATTTTAGTCGCTTTCAATTATTAAAAATAACGAAATTATGCATCGCTTTCATGAATTTTTCCTCTTAGATTTACCATTAGCTTTTTTTTTTTTACTTTTGAACTTAAAAATTTGCAATCTTGATTATGCTTGAATGTGAACGATGTGGTACCATCCATGTTTGAGCCAGATAACGGGAACTTTGTTACCCTGTCCTTCTTTCTTTTATTTTTTTTTTTATAGAGCTATTTTTATAATGTGCTTTTTCCTCCATTGTAAAATCCTCGCTCAGGTATTGCATCCGTAAGGATGTCTTTGAGCTAAATAAATAAAATGAAATGAAATGCGTGTCGCTTGAAGAAGCTAACAGCTGCTACTGTTTTAGAACAGGGGGCGTTGCAAAACCGGGTTTGTCAACATCCAATGCAGTGTGCGCCTTAAGAAACATCATTTTACGCTGAAATAAAACGCAACAATCCTTTGCAAGGCCTGCGAATAGGAAGGAAACCGCGACCATGGCGGAATCCTTCAACATACTGTTTGGTATTTTTTTTTAAATATACTGTTACGAGGAGTGTACAAATCTAAGCAAAAGCGAGAGGACAAGCGAGCTGCTTTACACAATTAAGATAGACGTATTAATCTAGGAGCAGGGAGAAAAAAGGGGGTCGGCCACACAAAACTCGAAACACACTGGTGTTTGTAGTTGTGCAGTATGTTTGTTGTCTGTTGCCTTTTTCTTCTTGCCACTGAGCTACTATGGCCAATTCCAACCCGTTATCACCATTACCAAATTAGTTTGTGGACATCAACGTACTCCTTAAAGTTAATAATCGAAGAAATGTTAATTGTTCTAGGGTAGCGGAAGACGTCGTCCTGAACGGGTACCTAATCCCCAAGGGAACCATCGTCGTAGCCAACAACTGGGCAACGCACAACGATCCCAGGTACTGGAAGAATCCCGAGCGGTTCGACCCATCCCGGTTCCTGACGCCCGACGAATCCCAACTCCTTCCGAGACCGGAATACCTGATGCCCTTCTCAATCGGTGCGTGCTGGGGGATGTTTACCTCACAACAACTATGCGGAGGACAAGTTCGTCTGCTTCTTGCCCAGGGGTTGCGGTGACGTCAAAACGCCGAATTCTGATCGACTCGAATTGGAAGGGTAGTGGATAGCCCTAAAGACAGCTAGCATTGAGGTCTACCCACTGCTCTTCCAATCAGAGCCAATCGGAGTTTGGCGTTCTGAAGTTGCTGCAACCCCAGTGCAAGCAGCAGAAGGACTTGCTCTCCGCATAGTCTCTGATAGTGGAAGAAATGCATGGCGTGCATTTTTATGTTTAGGCTGCTTGCGTCGTCATTCGTTCACTAATGCCACGATTTCAATGGCTTCAGGGATATGATAACACAGCACAACAACGGGGCTCTTTCTGTGGTGCCCCGCCGCAGACTATCGCATTTCCACGTTTCTTTCGTGGACCCTATTCCACTGATTTAATGTAGACGAAACTCGTTCTCTCGCTTAACCCTTGGTCGTAGCCCAACCGAGCCCACCTTACTTCTCCGTCCCTACACTCTTAATCTCGTTCCACTTAAGTTCCGGTCATTAGCGGAAGTTTCTTTTTTTTTTTTTTGCGAAGAAACGTTACACTTAACAGGGAGGTACAATGTTTCAAATTCGTTGTAGTTTATACAAGACAGTTTCATATATTAGTAAATATATGAAACTGACGCGGCTCCCTCGCTCGGCTGGGACAACTTCCATTTTCGGAAGAAAGGCGTACTTCACGTCGCGGCCAAGTGATTTCACGTGTCGGTGGCAGAGTCCGGCCGAGTCGAGGAGAAAAGTAGACTCAGTTTTCACCTTTCTTTTGTGTGTGTGTGTGTGTGCAAAACTGGAATCAATAAAACGAAAACGGATTCTTGCTCTGGGTTCTATGGACATTGAAGATTAACTGGAGTCTTCATTTGGAAAAAAAAAAAAAAAAGAAAGTTGTATCATTTTCTTATGGGTCCCTTTAAAACAACATCGACACAACTAAAACTCCGACGTTGCGCTGATTTCCGTCGATAGAAGAAAAAAATAATTTAAATAAAGATGTTACAGTGATCGTTCCGCTAATCGCGAATTCCGACCACAGCGGCGACGCTTTCGGTCACAAACGTCGCGAATGACGATTATAGGAGCCAGCTCGCTCGGGCCTTTACCCTCATTATTATCACGCGTGAATTAACTGATCGGTCGCAAAAATGGAGCTTAAGGCGATAGTTACATCCGAGAAAACATTTTTTTTAAAGAGCCTGACCAGGTCACACATGTCAGAAAATCAGACTTGTGGGGTGGGGTACTCGTTAAAAGTAATCAAATTACTGGTTATCGTTTATTTTTTGGTGTAATTTTGTAATCTTTTGATTACTTTTACTAGGCAGTAATCCCAACGGTTATATGATTCATTTCGGGAATACGAGAATTCCTTGCCTCCATAACTGTCCCCCCCTTCCCCCCCCCCCCCCTTTTTTTTGTTAATGGCGCTCTGCGTTCGCTGGAGCCTTTTGCCAAGAATTTCTCGAACCAAGCCTCCGACAGGGGAATGGTTTACAAAAATTGATGGACCAACGAGATAAGTATTTCGTAGTTCGGTGATTTTATTCCAACAATGGGCAGCACGAAAGGCCCGTTTTCGACCCGCCAAAAGGATCCGTCGTTTGAGAAACCGAAGTAATCAAAGTAACAGTTAAGTTTTCAAGTACGGGTAAACTACTTTTCTTCCCGGGACACCAGGTGATGTAATTGAGTACTTTTTAACCAAGCTTGATTGTAACTGTAATCAATTACTTTCTTTGAGTAACGTGTATAAGTCTGCACACACTAAAATTTCCCAGGAAAGTCAAACGAACAAACAACTGGCGGCCTCTGATATTTCCGTGGACGTTGAAATGTGAAGCCCTTTTTCGTTTAGCTATGGTGCCTGGAATGCTTCTCCGACTGGTGCGTTTACCGCGGCCAAAAAAATGGTCCCTCGATTTCCGCCTGATGACGTCATATAAGTGTGATGCTGTCGCAAGTCACGACCCTGGCAGCGTTTCCGTCAGTTGTGGTATGAATGGCAGACGCCTGTTGTGTTGCAGGTCGCTCTCCACTGGGACAGTTCACGGAAGCTAGAGCAGCTGGAAGTTGGGACGCCTGGGACGCCGTGACGACAGCGACAGTCGCGTTCGCTCGTGCTTTTCGCCAGTATTTCTATGACCAACCGCCACGATCGCGACAGTCAACAGCATGATACTCCGCCTTCTGTGACGTCATTTTTTGTTACTTCGGGACCACTTTTGATGTATGGGCGGGATAGGACGCTAAACACACCAGTCGAAGACGCGATCCAGGCACCATAGTTTAGCCTCGTCCACCAGCCACGTTATTATCGAGTATGCGGGATGAAACGAAGAGCCAGGTATTACAGTCTGGATAAAATAAAATAATATAGAATAGCCGAAACAAGAATGATAGATAGTCACGATCAAAGCCTGAGCTCCTCCCAGTAGTGTCACTAGTTAGGCGGGAACAAAACGATGTTTCCCCGAATACCGGAAGTTTCGTTATTCAGGATGTTGGCTCCCGCTTCGAAAGGGTCTGTAGCGCTTAGAACGCGTCCGCCCGCAACCACCCTAGTCAAGCACACAAAGTCCGATATTAGGCAAAATGAGGAGGTAAAAGGTTGTTCTTTTGGCGCAGCGTATGATGTTTTTGCGCTAAATTTAGCGAAGGGTATTTACGTGACACCAATCCCGCGATCACGCAAACCTCACTCACATCGCGGTGTTATGTGACGCTCTAATGTCAAGATGTAAAGTGACACCATGGCATCGAGTTCCATAGTCCCGTGACACTGTGACGTAAAAGTCGTGTGGTCACGTGACATTTACTTCGAGTTACGTGCTCACGCAACACTGTGACTTCGAGTTACGTGGTCACATATAACCGTGATATCACGGCTCATGACATCGTAGCACGTGCCGCAAACCGCGTGACCACACGTCCCATAGTGGCACCAAACACGAGATAGTCATACTTCGTGTTGTCATGTTTTCGTTCAAACCACGGTGCCCGGAACGCGTCTGTGACAAGTGTGTTTAGCGCCATCTACCGCTTATATGTCAAAGGTGGTCGCAAAGTGGCAACAAATGGCCTCAAAGAAACCACCGTGTCACTATATAGTGCCTCGAACACGTCTCCGACTGCTGTGTTTAGCGCGCCCCATAAAGTGATTCCTCGATTTCCGCCTGCACGCTAGCATCATAAAAGTGTCACGCTGTCACCGGTTGCGATCCTGGCGGCGTCCCAACAACTGTGGTGTATGTGGCAGACGCCTGTTCTGCTGCAGGTCGCTCTTCACTGTGACAGTCCACGCAAGCTACGGCAGCCAGAAGTTGGGACGCCGGCACGACAGCGACACTCGCGTTCCATCATTCTTCCTTCCAGTGCTTCTACGCCCAACCACCAGGTGGCGCGACATCCGACAGCGTGACACTCCGGCACCTGTGACGTCATTTTTTGTTACTTCGGGACCGCTTTTGATGTATGGGCAGCATAGGACGCTAAACACACCAGTCGAAGACGCACTCCAGGCACCATAGTGTCACGCTGAGCAAACGCGAGTGTCGCTCTTATCTGGGAGTCCCAAGTCCTGGCTGCCGAAGCCTCCTTGGGCTGTCAAGCTGGAGGGAGGCCTACAGCAGAACAGGCGTCTGCCGCATGCAACGCTGCTGTGACGCCGCTCGGATTGCGGCCGGCGACAACACGACACTTCGATGACGTCATAAGGGGGAAATCGAGGGACCACGACGCGGTACATACACTAGTCGCGGACACGTTCCAGGCCACATAATTACACCTCTACGTGACGCTCTGAACCGGGGTCACACTGTTAATACATGACACAAAAGACACCGTGCAGGCGCTGTTCGAGTGGCGTCGTAAAAATGATCTGCAAATATGTTCGAAGTGTACTAATGTATTAAGCAAACGGACTTGAAACATGCTTAAGGACTGGCCGCCGATATTCTTTCATCGTACCTGCGGCAAATACTGCGTCTTTTTTATGATGTATGAGCCGTTCGACTCCGGCTTTAGACTTCGAAGCCCGCGCATTAAAACATTCTGCTTCAAGAAATGTTTTTTGTCTCCCCGGTCAGGGAGGCGGATGTGTCCCGGAAAGGCCCTGGCAACCGTCGAAATCTTCCTCGGCGTGACGACTCTTCTGCAGAAATTCCTCGTTGTGGCCGAAGGAGGTCCGAGCTACTGCGTAGCCACGGATCCGTTTGCGAAACTTCTGGCACAGGGACTGTGCTTCCTACCTCGTGTTCCGGAGTGACGATTTTAAGACGATTTTAAGTTTTCTTATTAAAGGGCCACTGAAAGCCCCAATGACGATATTTTGTATTGTCTAAAACGCCTCATGACGGATCTAGTACAAGGTGAGCGCAAAATATTTTCACCGTTATAAGAACTTACCTGACACACAATCGAAGATGAAAACGTTCAAGTTGTGGCGTTAGATAGGCCGACTAATCGAATTTCAAATGGATAACATTTGAAATTCGACGTGAAAACTAAGGGCTAGCTCTTAAAGGGATGGTGAACCGAGCATTTCAGTGTCTATATTAAGTGGTGCACAATCTTTTCATGTGTCAGCAGCCGCCGGTGTGCGCGCGCACACGGACCGAAATTGACGTCATCATATCCCACATTCCCGCTTAATAAGCTCGAACGGGAGATGTGATGAGGTCGATTTCGGTGCGTGTGCTCGCGCACACCGGCGGCTGCTGACTCGTGGCAAGATATTGCACCACTTATTATAGGCGCTGAAATGTTCGGTTCACCATCCCTTTAAGTCCCGGTCACACTGCTTATAAGTTGTACTTGCGTCATACAAAATAAAATAACGTTCGCTGCAGGCATGACGAGAGAATTATCTGCAGGAAACTAATTGCTATAAATTTCATCCTTAAAACGACTCGTCAATAGAAGGGCGTTAACCCAGAAGTCATTACCACAAGAGGGTTTCGTTAGATCAAAGGAAGAATTTACCGCAGTTTCCGGATCCTATTCCGCGAACTGAACGCGTTAAAATGTTAAACCTTACGTGCTGATGACTATTTACTGGTGCTGGCCATACAAGCATTTGTATTTTTCAGATGGTTCGTTATTGAGAGACGTGATGGATTCTACAAATAACATATTATGTTAATGATAAATTTTGCATGATTCAAGCTTTCTGGGCAGATAAAGCAGGCATTTATCAAGGCGTGCTACGTATGGTCTTTTTACGTGCGGATTATGTACGAGGTGCGGATTAATTAAGTTTCTTTTTTCAAGTTACATTTGCTCTTGCTGACTGCACACCAGGTGCGGACAAGAGCCCAGAAGATATGGTACCAGTTATTTAGTTTTTGAGCAGTAATCAACCCTCTAATATTACCTGTGCTATCTAACCTCTGGACATTAATTCACAATACACCACAATTGCATGATACTCTTTTTTGACATTTTTCAGTGTAAGGCCTACATACGCCAAGAAGGCTCGCGCGTGAGACGCGGAAGTTAAGGTACGAGGGTGAAAAGGGTACTTTTAATAGAAACAATATTTCAATCCTCAACACAATATCAAATTCTAATACAAAAAAGCAATCTTTAGCCATTTTTTTTTATAGTTTCGAGTATTCGCTGCCACCAAATTATCAAAATGGGTGCACATATACCCGCGTATTCTAAAGCTTTGGTAGAACTAAATAGCCGCAGTCGAACTGCTCGTACATAATTTCAAAGACAGGGTGTTTACTAAAGACACGATGTCCAAATTACCTGTGTACACTCCTCAAGCCTGCAGGAAGCATGTTTGGTTCGTGCATAAGTATGCTTCGTACGGGTCTGCAGGCAGCGTTTTGTGCGACCAATAAAAAGTTTTAGGGAACCCTTTCTGCACATCCGATACTGTACGATGCGCCCTCCGGTACGAACTACGCATGCGCAGTTCATACCAGAGGGCCCATCGTACCGTTTCGGATGAGCGAAAACGGTTCCCTAAAACTTTCTAATCTTACAGGACCGTCATCCAAGGAAGGAACACTACTCACGCAGGGTCTGTGGACTGTCGCGTGTATGATGCGTTATCGGAGTAACTTCGGCTTATTGATTTGTATCAACATTGATTTGATCGGCTCTGATATCGTACCGTGAGATACAAATGCGGGTTTCGATTCCCCGCACCTCCTCCCCTTGTAAGATAGACAGGGTCGTTGGTTTTCGGAAGCATTGATTAGTGCGTCTGCTCGGGACACAGATCAGATTCACGTAGTCTGGCCTAAAGTCCCTAGTTAAGAGATTCCTACAAGTAGCAACATTCTTTGAAGCGCCGTTTGCGTGACGGTGCAGGTTTTAGGAAGCGAATGGCTGCGCAAAACAGATGTTTGAACTGAATGCGCGCCATTTTGTTCCAGCGGAATGTGCTTCGTCGCTTGTATAGGTTGTCGTTACTTATAAAAGAAGTATCTGGGGGTTTAGTCCGGCCCATGTCTCGAGTCACCCGATGATGATGATAATAACGACGAAGATAAGCTACTTTGAACCAGTCCGCTATAATGACCGTGGCGTTCTCCTGAACGCGAAATAAAAAAGAAAAGTTGATTTACCTCGATACTATGAATAGGATAGGTATACTTTATCCGTGGGCCTCTCTAATCTTCGACTTGTTGAAGAAGTACCCCCTTATCTTAGACGTCCTACACTATTCTATTTCAGGGCTACGATTTCAAAATGTAATGGAAAAAAACATCTTCTAGAAGGCTCATGCGAGTGCATGGCACAAATTGAGAAGATGACTCTCGCTATCTTAATACTGTAAAATAAAACTCGTCCTTATTTGGCCCTTTAAATTACGTCTTTTGATATGTGCGTGTATTTCTGACTTATGTTGTTTAATATAAAAAAGCTAAACTATTTTTGTGTTCTGTTGAATTTTTCCAGTTCAATTGCAATACTTTAACTCGGCCTCTTTTTCGGTGACTTCTGTCTTTCCCTTACTTTTTCTCTGTAACAGAATAGTTTTTTGGGTTATGTAATTCTGTTTTTTTCTTAGTTTTCATCAAGTTGTTTTTTTTTTGTTTTTTTTTTAGCAATATACTCGTATTTTCTTAGGTCTTTTAATCATGTGCATACCATGTACCATCGCTGTGACTGAAAGGGTGGCATGGCCCATCCAGGCATTAAATCTGCCTCGTGGCCATGTTACTCAAGACAATGCTGTAACCAGAGCGGTCTCGAATAAATGCAAACAAACAAAAGATACAGAATGCGTTTCCGCTGCATTCTTTGTGGTTTGAGCGGGACAGGGCAGTTCATTGTTTCTTTAGTTTGTAGGGTGTTATTTCCTACCAAACTCTGTCGTCTTTTTATGTGACGGTGGGGACACAAGCGATTTATTAGGGAGTTTTAGAATAGCGCACGCTAAAGCTTTGCGTACGCAAAGAATAGCGTCGTCGCCACTGCGCATCCGCCAAACGCTAGCCACGTTTGCGCTTTGCGTGCGCTATTTCTTGGAAATTGCGTTCGTACGCAAAGAGCCTGCGCTCCTCCAAGGTGGATTCGTAATGAGAAGTTGCCAAGACAAGCAGAGTTAAAAAATGGCGGCTCCCAGACCCATGGCTGAGGCCGCTTTGGCGGCGTCGTGGGCGCGACGTCGGCGGCATCTTCGCGACTGCAATATTCAATACTGAACGACATTGCACTCGGTTTGGAAAACCCAGTAAAGAGGGTAACGATAACCGGCAACTTGATGCGTGCGACGCGCGAACATTTCTCGGCGAAGGTACAGTGTGCGAAGGTCAGTACACGAGACCTCTCTTGCCGAGGCGACGCAGGCGGACACGACTGGTTGACTGCTAGCGTCGTATTCTCATGTTTAAACAAATCTGGCTCCTTGGACCAGAAAAACTTTTTTTTTCTCAAGTCACAGCATTTCTTTTGTTAAATGAAACTTGTGACTATCGTAGTGGCGTTGCAAGCGCGAGATGCTTGGGCCTTTCCATCGCGGTGAAGCGCTGTTCTAAAACTGTCTTGCGTAGCGTGCGCTAACGCCAGCGCTAAATCTAGCGCTAGCGTGCGCTAAAACTGCGTACGTTATTCAAAAACTTCCTATTATTTGTTCTCATGAGCTGTTTGGACGCGAACTCCAAGCACCGACCGCGAACACCGAACCAAATACTTTTGGCCGAACAACGAACGCCGTAACGCCGTAACGCCGTAACGCCGGACGCCGGCGTCAGGCGTTCAATTTTGAACAGTTCGTAAAGGGTTCATAACAGTTTATCGAACGCCTTCTTATTGAAGCAAGTCTTAAAGAACTGGCGCGTTTTATTGAGGCTCGATTTAGAGAATTTAGAGAACCCTCAGTCTAGAGTAACGCCGTTTATCCAAAGGGGGAAGCTGTCTAAAAAAAAGTAGCGCGTCATTCACTAAGGGGTGTCTACCCAAGTATTTAGCCCTCCCCCCCCCCCCCCCCACTTTCCCCCCCTACCCTTCCTGTTTCTCCCCTCGTAACCCAGGGTAGACATAAAAAGTTTTGCGTCTCCCACTTCCGAATTGTGACTCTATAAAAAAAAAAAAAAAAATCGCTAAGAAGAGGCTCGTCGCCATGTTCTTTACACTGGGTTTCCCTATCTAAATTTTGATAAACGGGGGTCTCCAAACTGGCGTTTGCTAAAATGAGCTTCATAAGATGAACGCCTCCGTTTGTCAAAGGCTTCCAGTGTGAAGTTTGCAGACAATGACAATTCCTGTCTGCGTCAGGCGTCGGTTCACTATGGCGCTAGGTTCGTAGCAGACGAACTTTTTATCCGGTCTGTTAGCAGACAACTTACCTTGTTTTGTGTGTGTGTGTTTTTTTTTTCTTGCCTTTTTTTTTCGTCTGCGAATGATTTTTCGCAGTACACGAGCCGCATTCTTCACTCGCGTAACCAGACAAACTATCTACGAACGCTATCTTAGCTCGCTACGCGAGAGGAAGATTAGATATCATTCTCGCTTTCGGGGTAACTAAAACCAAACCCCTGGGACGCATCCCCATCTTGCATTTTTACCGTTTCCCCAAACGTAGTCGCTCAACCATAACGCAATTACAAAAAAAAAGAAAGACAAGAAACTTGAGTGAGCTCAAAGCATTGTTTCCACGCTTAGGGAGACATACGGCTTGAATTCATCAACGTGGCGTCCAGCGAGATTTCTAGCCGGAAGTACATCATGTAAAACCGGCCTTTAATCTCTTTACGACCGACAATAGTTTCTAAAAAATGTGACCACTGGATGACATATTTCAAT